GACACACCCCCATCTGTTCTTCTGGAAGAAGATTGTGTATTTCGGCGGCGCTTGAGATCCAGCTGGCGACTATTCTCTCAAGGATTTTTCTAATGGTTTCCATGAGGGCTATCGGTCGATAAGCCTTTGAAGTGTTGTATGCTGATTTCTGTGACTTTTTAAGCACGATTGATAAAGACTCCTTGAAGCCTATTAGGTGATATCCCTATTTTCATAGCTAGATAGCTGAATACAATATGAATTAAGAAAAGGTGATATCCCTTGGAGAGGCAGAAGTTGAATAGTTCCATGAGAACCCTTGATAGAGTTTTCCTGCAATTTTTTAACAGCCAGTTTGGGATTCTGTGTGGGCCGGGGGCTTTCTCGCTCACTAGCTTTGCTAAGGCTTCCTCTACTTCGACTTCCGCGACCGTAAGAGGTAAAGTGTTTAGTTCTTCTGGATATATTGTGCCATTAATATCTCGAACATCTGCGTGGACTGGCTCTGGAAAGAAATGTTGCGCCATTACTCCTGTTTTATCTATAATTTTGTGGATATTTTCTTCTCCATCTTAGATGTCGGGTATCTGGGGGAGCCTACTTCGTTCCTCCGGGGATTTCTTGGCTCACCTATTTAGTTTCCACATTTTTGTAGGTTCTTTTCTGGCCTCTGAGACAACTGCTTTCCAACCAATAGATTTTTTTCAGAGGAAATTTAAGAATGATATAGTTGAGTCTGAATCATGAGCTATATTTAATCTAAAGAGAGAAAGGTCTATGAACACGAAATTATCATACAAACTATGTGCCGAGGCCGGAAGAATATTAGCCGAGCCTAATTAGATCAAGATGAGTATGTTTAAGCGAGCGCATGCTTAGTACAGTTCACAACTGTTACAATTTTGCTCTCTTGATTTAGCTTTTTTTTTAGTTTATGTTAGAATTTAGAATAATTGAGGCTATCAAGTAGGCCACGTTGTTGGTACACACGTGACTACAAATTCTGTACTTAGTTCCACTTCGGTAGTGACTTGAATCAATGCGCTCTACAACCTCAATGACTGAGGGGTCATTACTTCCTTAATAGTTTGTGACTTTTTGATATTGCACCCAGCTTTCTTCAGTAGAAGCCTTTGTCCATTGTCTTCTTTCCTTACGTGCTTCTCTCACGGCTTCAGAGCATTCTTTTGTCCAGTTTGGTTTAGCGAATCTCGAAGGTCTTGATTTCGGTATGCTTTCGTCCATTGTCTCCAGGATTGCTTGGGTGATTTCCCTTACCTGCTTGTCGATAGCCTCTTCGCTGTCGAGTGGGTTGTCACTGACTCTTAAAGCTTGCAGCTTAGATCTGAGTCTAAAATTAGCCTCGTCCCCACACGCTCTTTTCCATAGTAAGTGCGGCTATCTTTCTGCCTTTTCGGCTGCCTTTAGGTTGAGTTTTGTTTGTATTGGAATGTGATCTGAGGATACTTCTAGTTCATTCGCTGGTTGGCACTCTAGGATTGTGCCATCAAATTCTTTGGACACAAAGGTTAGATCCAGAGTGCTACGGCTCCCTCTACTCATCCAGATGATTGTCCCTTTTGGCAGAATGAACTCCATGTCTTGATTGCTTAGCATTTTGTTAAATTTGCTTGCAATTCTGTGTTGGACTGTAACTGTTTAGCCACCCCACCTTGGGTGATAAGGTTAAAGTCTCCTACAAAAATATGATAACCCTCCTGCGCTAGTAGTTGGGGGATCCATTGCAGTGTTCCCATCGTTTGGCTACTGTGAAAGAGTGGAGGAGGGTTAAATATGTTGTGTATCCACATTTTACCGATTTCTGTTTCTAGGCTGACTGAGGTTATATGCCCTTTTGTGCCTTCTGAGACTTCCTCTTTTCCCCACTTATTGCCGTCTAGATTTTCAATGATGTAAATACAGGTTTTATTGAGGAAATAATGAACCCTCAGTCATCGAGGTTGTAGAGCGCATTGATTTAAGTAACTACCGAAGTGAAACTAAGTACTGAATTTGCAGTCACGTGTATACCAATGTGGCCCACTTGATAGCCCCAATTATTCTAAATTTTAACAGGTTCTACTTTTTTGCTTTCCTGTAAAAATTAAGTGGTATGTCGGATGATGAAAGGTGATTGGCTCGGTAGGGTGGCTCCATGGTTCTTGTATAGCAGCTACTTGGCGTTCCAGTAGATCTAGACTTTGAAGGAAATGACTTTGTACGCATTTCTTGCTCTTATTTACATTATACCGTGGGATGGTTAGTATTGATGTGCCCTTCATGACTCCATAGCGTCTTCTGACGCCTCGCTTGGCTCTGCGTGTGCAACCCGTATCACAGTCCGGGTATTGCATTGTGGGAAGAATGCTGACACGTTAGCTACCGGTATTAGCTTAGCCCAGGTAGCTGAGATGTCGGGGGTAGCAGGAGCGTGAATTTTACGTGGTATTCCGGGACCTCGACGAGTAGTAGTTTCGCCTACTGGAACTACAATGTCCATTTTTAACGCTCCTGCTCTCCTTTTTCTTGAGCCAAATACCTACCAGTCGCTATCTGGACTTATCGCCTGCGTCTCTTGGAGCATAAATCTTCCCGAATATTGAACTCTATTTTGTATAGCTCTAGCCTTTGTCGCCAGCCTGACTGGAAAGACTTGGTCACATGCCGCGTGTTTCTTGCTGCAGTTGATGCATCTAGAATCTTGTTTGCCAGGACATGTTAGAGAGTTGAGTCCACCAGCACAATATCTACACGTTGAGTCTACTGGGCAAGTCTTTGCGAGGTGTCCGTATTTCTGGCAGTTGTAGCACTGCATCATACAGAAGCACGACCTAAATATTTCTGTAGATTTAAGCTATTATTTCCTTAGAGTGACTTTCTCAATAGCCTTATCAGTGTATTTTGCCTCGTCGTACCAAACAATCATTGAGCCCGGATTTTTCCCTGGTAGTTTATTCTTTTTAAGCCAAGCGGCTTTTTTAATACCAGTTCCTTGTATATACAGAGTATTTGCCTTTTGTAAGTCTTTGAATTGTTCGGGGTCCTCAGGGTTGAAGGATAGAGGCATATGGTGGACCAGAACCTAGTAGGTAGGAAGGCTTATTTGCGATGTTGTTGCTGACTTTGACGTCCACTCCTTTTGTTTCTTCATGATTTCTTTCGTATTTCGTCCTGTATAGTAGACTTTCACTCGTTCGTTTGACGGCTGCCTTGCCCCAATTATTTCCTTCATTCCAATCTTTTTGACCAACTCTTCACTCGAGAGTTTGGCAATTTCTTTCTTTTCGTCTCCACTTTGTATCCTTATAGTGCTCCCTATTGACTGCGACTGACTTGCGACGTTAGACTAGGACTTTCCCTAGATACGAGTGGGAAGATTGCTGTCAGAAATGGATGTTTTAATGGATAGGACTTCCTGTAGTATTTTAGGCATTAGTGGAGTTTCAACTGATTGTGTGGTTTGGGAAGCATGTGGGTTGTTTTTTTCTTGTAGACTTTCAATTATCTGAACAGCTTCTTTTAGAGCCAGAGCATAAACTCTAGTTGCCAGAAGTTCTCCATTGATTAACTTGTTGACTCGTTTCAACACTGCGTCGACATTTGCAGGCGTGTTGTCAGCCTCGCCAACGTCTTCCTGTTATGCTCAGCTATGTAGTGTAGTAGGTCTAGTAGCTGGTGCATTGGTAGTTATTATGGCAGCATGGCATTATGGTGCATGAAGGAGATCCAGTCTCTACATAGCGACATAGTAGTAATGTGTGCAGTACGAGAGATGGGTTGTTGATATAGGACAAATGGCATGGCTGCTTGGTTGGTTGCACACTTTGGTGAGCTGCATACTGGTAACGTGATCGGTCTACAAGGGAACAAGCTAGGGGATAAGGGACGAGCTTCCCCAATCTGTAACACAATAATTATCATAGAAACTTCAGTTCTGCATTAAATGAATATATCTGTCCACAAACTATCTTAGCTGTTCCGGCGCAAGTGTACATTCCCAAATCGTATACCAATCATAATACTTCCATCAACTTGCCATTCAATATACTTCCGCTATCTTTAAAAAGGTGAACGGCCATATTCTAATAACTATAATATCAGTTAAATATAATGAGATGGGATTTTTCTGAATGATGATGTATCTTATTTATTTATTTTTATGTCTACCAGGCTAGTTACAACTAAAGCCCCATCCCTGAGGGTACATAAATATATATTTCATTTTCCTGATTTGGCGCTTTGAGGCCCATGCAGGCTTTATCGGGAGATATGTGTTTTAAGTAGGTTGACTCAATTTGATATTTAGAACTCACAATCAGAATTCATTGGCAGATACCACTCGAGGTTAATCCTTACGGCGAATAACCTATTCCGTGCATACCACCCACAGGGAAAAGCTTTAGAGCCTGTACCTAACCTGGTGTGCCGACATTATTCCAGAAGTACAATGCCACCGCGAGGGAGAGTGGTGTGAGGGTCTTCCTGGATACGAACAAACTTTCTCTTGTCTCGTAAGGGGCACATGTTCAAGCTATCCAGTATCTACTTGGGAGAACGGCCCGGATGGTGTACCACTGCACCATCCAACCTAGTGACCCTGTAGAGGAGATTTCTGCAATGTGTAGTCGGATTCGAGGGATTACTCGTCTTACAGCCAATGCGCCTAGCCTAGGATTACTCGGTTAGTATCATGTGATAACTACTCCAAGTTGCACGTTTTGATCGCACAAAAAAGACAACTGTATTTTAATAAAATCTCATAAGTAGCTGAGTTCGCCTTAATATTGTAATGTGTTCTCCATCTAAAATATTTACTCGGGTAACCTTTGCCATGTCCCGGAAGTGTTAATGCTACAAGAGTATACAAGACAAAGTTGAAAGTAGTGCGTACCTAAGAATCGCTACATTATGGCTTGACGCTGCCGTATCGTAGACAAGTATCATATCAAACAGCGCTATCGGCTCAGTGATTACAATACTCACGGTTCTTTGAAACTTAGCAAATACTAAATAAATTGATCATGCCTCTGCTTCCCAGTCAAAAAGGAACAGGAAAGAAAGGTCGCGATCCCCGGCATTCACGAAGTCGTAATTCAACCCCCAGCTTGCCTGGGAATGTCGGTTCACTCATTGGAAGTGACGGTGCGACTCCATTTCTCGAGTTACCGACACATGCATTCCGAGCGACCGAAGATTTTTCGAGTTCTTACGCAGGCGGAATCCCGAACTCAAAAGAACTCGATACGCTCCTAGACCGACTTAAAAACCTGATTCAGGTTGTTGAATCAAGAAGTTCAGCATGCGACAAAGGCATGAGGCTACTCGCTCAATCTAGAAAAGATAGGCTGGAAGAGATAGAAGCAGAGAGGAGAGAAGAAGAAAACAAGGAGCGTTTGAAAAAAGAGGTACAAGATGAAGAAGAAAGAGGGAAAAATAAAGGTAACAAGAACAAAAGACGGAAAGTTCTAAGTGGTAATACTGAAGAGACACCATTAAATTATGGTGCACATGGACTAGCAAATCAAGATGGCACAAACTTACGTTCGTCAAAAATACCTCAAGTTAGCGTGCCTATAACTAACTTTTATAAAGATACATCATCTACAAATGTAAAATCTCACGTTCGAAAAATCTCGCGGGACGCGGTCTCCTCTAGCTCTTCACTCTCGCCACCTGCAGCTGCCACACCTGTTACAATTAGTGCTCAAGACAAAGATATAGAGAAAGAAAATGATTCCAGCTCAGATGAACATCAGCCTCTACCAGCTCCCGCCATAACAAATATGAAAACATTTGGGGATGATCCATCAACTTTTCCTGATCCCACAGTATATGAGATACCAGAGGCGAGGGAAGGAAAAACCAGGGAAGAACTCAAGGAGATTTTTTCGGTGGCCTATTACCCTGAAACTGACTTGGATGATCTCATACCTGGCACACCGCCCGATAAAGATTTTAGTAGTGCCAAACCGGCAAATCAAGTTCAAGCCAATACTTTTTCCACTTACCTTGAACCTTACTTTCGACCATTTGACGATCAAGATCTCGCTTTCCTTCGGGAGCGTGGCGACCGTGTTACTCCATTCATAACCCCCCACCGTGGCAAGCGACATTACACTGAGATATGGGCTGAAGAAGATAATCATCCGGTAACTGATACTACGCAAGGCCGCGAAAAACTTCCACTAAATCAACCCCGAGGTAGTATAGATCGCATGAATGATGATGTTGCCGAGAGCGATGCTATCTCTACTGGTCCTATACTTTCTCGTCTTTTAGCAACATTAAGGCCTGAACACCGAGCCTCTTCAATTGAAATCGCAAATGGTATTTCTAATGACCAAGAAAATAACACTGACTTGAATGATATTCTTGGGACCTCTTCAGAAAACGCTATTCAAACTTCTGCAACACAGATGCCCGAATCCAATACTGAAGCATGGAAAAAAGCTTTGCATCCAACTCTAGATTATGCGCAGATGGATGAGCGGATAAAGCTCGAACTGCGCCACATTGGATTCCTACCATTAGAAAATGAACCTAACTACGATATTCACAATGATGACGACGTCGCTGTTCGCCTGCGATACTTACAAGCCAAACTCAAAAAAATAGCAATTCTAAATGGTGCTCGCAAAGCACGCCTCAGAGAATTGGTGAAGGAAAAAATGGCCCATCAAGAATTTAGCACTATTCTTGAGGATCTCGATAGCCAGGTTCAGACAGCATACCTCAAACGCACTCGCACTCTTGGTAAAAGTAAGAAGGCCAAAAGACCTGGTGGTGCAGGGGGTGGCAGTCACTTTGTAGCAGGTACTTCTGGCTCGGGCATGGCTCGACCAGGGATTGGGGATATGACTAAGACATTAATGGAAAGAAGACGCAAGTGGATCGACACAATTGGCGGTGTACTTGATCCCGAAGCTACAAAGGTCAGACGGGTTAAGGATCCAGAGAGCTCAATTTTTGGAGCGGATATGTTGGCCGAGTTCATAAGAAAAGAGGAAACAGGATGGGATGAGGGAGAGGATGATGAATAAGCATACCATGCGATGAAAAAACTCTCATAATTTTGGGATCGTTCCGGCTACTCGTGTAGGTATCAGGGACGTTTAACTTATCCTGATTTCAGACTCTTCTGTGGAACCCCTTAAAAGAGTAATCATCTGTATCGGTAGATAGCTGTCCTGAAATATTTGAGTGCAATGAATTATGAACAGGGAGGCTTTTTAATTCGTTAGGACTATTACGGGAAGCACCTTCTCTGTGGCGAAAGGGTTACGGGCGATGTTATATATTTATCTATCAAGTTATCAGGGTTTATCCAGAAAAGAAGGTGCAAGCATTGAAGCTTTTGACAGATGATATGAAACTTTGTCAAGAAGTCCTATAGTAGTAATTGTAGCACCTACGAATTAGCTAAAATATAATTCGACTTTCGTGTTTTTTTAGAAATTTACTTCGATTATTTGGCCATGGCATGAAAGTAGTATCAGAACTCTAGTTGGTCTGAACTGTTGGTAGTACTGCACCGGAGATAATCAAACTAGGCCCTTGCTACTTACGCTGAAGGTTATTCTCCAAAGATATCTCTAGCTAAGGAAACAATCAAGAAATTCACTAACCTTTACCTTTCTATGAGCAGATCCCGCTTGTTCCAACAAGTAACGTTAGAATGGTGGGCCTCTTGGTTTCTATGGTATTCCCTGATACACGTTTTATTTATTGTATCAATTCACTTCAGGCTTCTCACGTACAAGGCCCCGGAGGACGAAGGCTGAACACCTATTGGTGGTGTCCTCTACGAAGCTGGAAGTGAAAAATATACCTAGAGCTGAGATTCAGTCACGATAAAGGGTTTATACAAGAGTTTTCGTCGAGATGGCGATTGGTAGGAGTGGTATTGGCAAGTTTTTGGTCGAAAATAGACATGCGGAGATTTAAAGAGCGCACAACGCATTGAATTCAATTATTTACACCCCAACTACGAAGCGCAGATATGATAAAATCTGCGTGATGTTCGTATGAAAACAAATGGCAGTTCTCACTTTCTCAAATTACCAGGGAATATCTTTTCCATTTAAACTCATCTCGCGACTCTGTTCACAATTATCTTACTACCTACGAGCAACACAAAATACAAAAATCAAATTCGCTTTCCAAGATTCAAGTGGAAATTTATCTCTTTGCAACTGTCGTGCGCTGAGAAGGTGTGGTCGAAGTACTGGCCATATGTTCATGCAACCTTGGCCAGGGGCATCAACAATTTGACCTGCGACGAATCACCATCGACAAAATACGTACGACACTTCACCGGCACATTAACTAGAGCATTCCACAAAGGTTGAGGCATCAGTGAATTGATCTTGAGCTCTTCGATCCATATTCTGCCTCCATGGCTAGGGGTACGGCAGCGATGGGGCAAGGACGGAGGTGTGGAAAGTCTACAAAGTTTCTAAGATGGCTAATTTGGAATAAGGGTTGAGGACAGCTACAATGGAGTAAGAAAAGAAAAGAACTGAGGAGGCCTCGTTGGGCGACTGGATGAGACCTCCGATGATGAAAACGACCCCTGGATGAGATGAGGAGTGTTGGAAATGGAGACACGGAGTGTTGTGGACGTACGGGCCCTCTATTTCGTCTAAGTTCCCGACACGATCTCGTATGTATTTAAGAGGTTAGAATAGGTAATATGGTAGCGCTTCAGGCTACCTATTGGATATATAAGCGGCTGTATTGCGTGGGCACAAGGAGGTTATTGGGGGTTTTTAATGCCTAGATGGCGCCACACTCGTTTACGCTGTGGCTTAGGCTATGTGTCGCTTACACTTGTACCTGTAGCGCACATTTCTTGCAATTTTAGCTGTAATCCGAACACGACACTCTTTTAGTCAACTTCTACTTTCCTTCCATGAATATTGCGCCCATTTCATTACGCGATATTTCCAATAAAGAGATGCTGAGATGAGCCAAAGCTGGGACTGAATGGAAGATAAAAGTTATATATTGCGAAGGTTTCAAGGCCTCAAGCGCGTGGTGGCCTAGTCTGAGGAGGAAGTTGCGTTTCGGCGCGCCAAAAGGGGGTTCTCTGGACGGTTGGTCATAACATGTTCGACTTATGGGTGAGGTCTGACGTGGTCCGGTCATTCAGGTGGGACGAGGTCATGTACTTATATGGTAGTTAACCTGATCCAGATCGCCCGTAATCGTGCTCAAGCTCCCATAGGATTGCGGAGGGTGCCGATTGCCTAGCACATTAATGGACATACATACATACATACGTATAAACCCCCTTGGACTCTGTAAGACTTTTCATACATGAAGAATCCCCCTTCCAACTTCTAATTGGAAGCGAGGATTGCTATATTTAATGCCACTTGATGTAGTAGACCGTTCTCATCGAAAAAACTGCTCAAGTTTGTCTCTAGTGATTTGCACTTTCTTTTCTGTGTGAATCCGCCACAATGGAAAGCCAAAGATTATTGAATTTCCAGGGTACCAGTGCATTCGTTACCAATGTGGAGCTATGTGATTCTAGCTGAGCCATACCGGATTTAGGCCAAGGTTCACATATCTCGAAAGGGGTATATGTCCAGGCTAATGCGTATCTATCTCGGGAGCCAGCCGGGATTACTTAGTAAAACATAATTCAACAGTTTATCGCGCTACATTCAGTAACTAGACGACCCTATCCAGCCCCAATTCTTATGCAGTTCGCTACGACTGTGCCTTCATACGCCATCTGATTGGTAACCTCAGGCACGGCTAAAAATATTTAGCACCAGTCGATTCGCTAATTCTTATAAATATCGACGGAAACCTATCTACCTACATTAACGACGATTAATTTCTTACGTACATAAGCCAATTGTTTCATCATGGCCTTTTCACTGCACAGTCACTCTGGGCAGTTTTGTCCAGGCCACGCTCAAGATGAGTTGGAAGAATGCATCCAAGCAGCCATTGCCAAAGGCTTTCAGGTATTCGGCCTGACGGAACATATGCCGAGAAATTCGCCCAAGGATCTTTATCCCGAAGAAGTACAGTAGTTTTCGCCGTTCTTTCTCCACCCCTATTCTCCTTGGGCTAGGCCGGGCCCGAGGCTCAGCACGATTGGAGGCTCATTTGGCGTCCAGGTTATTGCCAAAGAGAGCATTGCGAAGCTCACAGTGCGCCACGATGCCTTTCTTAAGGAAGCCATGCGTCTCCGGGAAAAGTATCACGGCACTATCGCCCTCCTTATTGGCTTTGAAGGCGAATGGATCCGGCCGTCATACGGTCCACTCATCCTCGATCTCGCACGCGCTCCGGAAATTGATTACTTTATCGGTAGTGTCCATCACGTGCATGAGATCCCAATTGATTATGATGAGATTATGTATTCGCGTGCCCGCACTATTTCTGGAGGTAGTGACGAGCGCCTTTTTGAAGATTATTTTGATGCGCAACTTGACATGCTGCGCACTGTGTGTCCACCGATCGTCGGACATTTTGACCTGATCCGTCTTTGGAGTGAGCGGCGCAATACGGATCTACGCGAGTTTAAGGGCGTCTGGCAGCGAGTCGTGCGAAATCTTACCTTTATCGTCGAGCTAGGAGCTCTCTTGGAGATTAATAGCAGTGGGCTTCGTAAGGGCCTATACGAACCATATCCTATGCGATGCGTGTGTGAGGAATTTTTAGCCATGGGCGGCCGCTTAACTATGGGAGATGACAGTCACGGCACTGCTCAAGTCGGAACGCATTATCCTGCCGCTATCAGCTATATCGAGAGTCTATCGGTGAAGGAGATTTGGTGTTTTGATAAAAAATTGGGTGAAAAGGAAGGCCATTCGATGACAGTGAGGGGCATCTCGCTACAATCGGTGAAAGCTAGTCTAAAAGTTTAGATCATTTTATTTCATTTGAATAAAGTTGTGGCTAGATCCCTTAAATCCAAAAAAGACAGCCACGAAGACGTTTAATGGTTGACAATGTTCAACAGTAAGATAAAAGGGGGTTAAATGACTAAAATGATCTACCATTTGAATAATGCCATTTTAACTGAAGTTAATCAGGAACCTTATTATTCAATTAATCTATGTGTATTATCCACAATTCTATGCCCGGCTTCTTTCTGGATTATTCCCGTCAATCCATGACATTAAGCCTAATAGGTAGCATCTTATCAAATCTAAGATTTGTAACTCGATATATAGTCACTAAAACCGAAGCCAAGGCTCAGAAGAGAATCTCTTAATGTCAAGTGTGATGTGAATCTAATGCAGAAATCCCATAAGACAAGGATGTAATATCTATATACGACGCTCCATGCAATCCTCTAGCATCTCCTTGGGCATCGAACGGCACAAAAATATCTCGGGGGTTGTATGAAGTAGATAAAATTATTTGTCTTCCCAAAATATTCTATGACAATCTTATGTAAATTCGAGCGCTTCTAAATCAATCCTGCCATTTCATCCTAGCATATCGGTCTTCAATAATTTAAACTCATGGAATAATTATCGACTTTAAACTTGACCGTCGACTTTGTACATGTATGTCTGTTATCACAGACATTGGAGATAATTCATGAGATTGCTTAATGAGAGGCTAGGATTGATTCCGATAATAATATTGTAGAAGACTTGTCCCAACTATCAGAGGGCTACAACGTCTTTATGTATCTATAAGTAAATTCCCCATATTCCAACCATGCTAGCCATACAGGACGTAGCATATAAAACTTGATTCGTATCATCAGTTTGGGGTTGAGGTTTACCGTGCAAATGCTACTCGAGTCGCATGTCTGACTACTATGCGACACGCTCAGGTATCAATCTATTAACCCACACTAAAACCGAAACTACTCACAACCCTGATGATGACCCCATGAATAATTGGAACAGTAGCCTGCAACATAGCACAATTAGGCTAGACATCGTTGACCAGGACCTAATCCGAACAAATAAGAAGCAGTATTCTATGTCAATCGTTAAAATTTAAAATTCCAAAATCTTTAGTACAAAGCGCGCGCATAAAAGAATGAAAAATGACGGATGTCCAAAATTTTTCAAATTAATTTTCAAATTATGTATTTGAACTTAGCGCTAAGAAAATAGTGATATTTTAAGCATGCAAAAATGGCCAATGTTTCAACATCAGGAGTCTAGAAACGAAGACAGAGTGACTCAAATCGATCAATGACAAAGCCAGTTTCTGTCTTATCTTCGATAGCTTGAATCTCATCTTCATTCTCGTATCACAATGATAACGAAAACAAGCAATCAAAAGTGACAAGAAGCATTACATGAGATGAAATACTACGATATCAGTTAAGTATATCTACGTTAAGAACCATCCTGTGTCACTTGCTCGGAAGAATTTACTATTCTATAAAAGCAAAGCAAAAAAATTTCAATCCCTCTTGAATTAATCTTCACGTTATTTACATTTTCGTCACTTTTCTTTTTCCCATCCAAACAAAACAAGACAGACTCGTTTGGTGATGGGTCTATGGCATAACGAATTTATTCTGGGATACTACAGAGCGCGCACTCTCTTTGAAAGCTATTCCCTGCACTACCATGAGCTTCAATATTTCCCAAGGCACCAATTATCAAACTAGCGGGGTCAAGACTGAACACCTATACGCGGTGTCCTCCGTGAACCTGGGAGTAAAATATTCTCCCAGAGCCAAGTTCAGTCAAATTTCGCAATAGCAAAGAAGTTGACCCACGAGGTAGTGATTCAAATTACTACTCTACGTCGATTTCTCGCTCCCAACGAGTTTGACTTCTACCTAAGTCTCATCAAGTCTACAAGTCCGACCTAGTACATCCTCATTCCAATGATCACACCTCTTGTTGACTTTCTCTGGCCTCAGCTCGCCACCAAATACACGCCCACGCCGATATGTACACCCGAAGGAGGAAGCAAAGCGTGGCGCACAAATCTGGGAGACTATTCTCTGGGATGGACGTGAGAGGAATCAGGACAAGTTCAAAAGATGATGCAAAGGAAGGATATGAACTCGAAGGGCGTGAGATTCCGAATTTTGGCAAGGAGTTCTACGAATTGGGCTTTGTGCGCGCCAAGATTTCGCTTGCGAGAGTGCAGCTGACACTATAAACGCAAGCCAACGAAGGAAGGTGTTGTGATCTGCCTCCTGGTGGTGTTCTCTGGTATAGTTTGAGTAGCCTGGACACCTACTCCACTTGGGAAGAAGACACCTCAGATTACATTTCGCGCGGAGAAAAGTTGAAAGATGACGGAGGCATGTCTGGATAACTCAGGGTTTTTGAGACGTTCCCCTGGGTGGGTATTCACGGATGAGAGTTGACTTGGGGTGAAGAAAAAGCCGCCATAACTTCGCAGTGGTACTTGCAAATGAAATCCGAGGCATGAGTGCTCTTCTTGTATATTGAATCTATTGTAATTGTTTTCCAAACCTGGCGGTGTAGCTTATCACAATTAATGAGTACTCTATAATGCAGTGGTTGTTCCATACAGATGCGATTGCGACAATACAATTGAGGGTTGTATGAAAGTTTGTCATTTCTATGAGTCTCAATTTTGTGGAGGTTTATTCAATTATTGATGATAGTTACTTGTTGTATCTATCTACAGAATAAAAGTTGAATGAAATTTGATACGTGACGGGCACAAGCCATGCACTCAAAGAGCATGGCACGGAGGAGACTAGCTTCTCCAGCGACTATGTACGAGGATAACTCAGTTTGACATTTGGACTACTCATGTAGTGGGTGCATTCGCTGATATCACTCGAGACATCGCAGCTAGAAACGAATCGCGACCCTCCCGGCAACTACGTCCAAGTTGAGCTTCATCTCCTCCGCATCTTCAAATCTCGCCCAGATCCTTCCCCAAGTCTTGCCTCACGAGATTTACCCGTCGCGATTTGATTGCACAGAAGGTTACGGTAACGCCATAAGCTTACATTTATAAACACGAGCCCAAGTCGACGAGAATTACCATTGAGCGCAGGTCGTCCTTGATTCTACTCGTAAACTTGCTACAGATTTGCACTGAGACGACCACGTTGGGAGCGAAAGACTGACGGACTCGGGATTCTTGAATTATGGCCACGCCGGCGGACTTCTTTCGTGTGGACCATTGCGTTAGATAGTCTATGATTCAAGTAGTACAGTTAACACATCACCCTCACTCACTCTTTCGTGTGGTGCTTGACTGAAAATAGACTTCCGGCGGAAATCTCGCTCTCATCATTGAAGAGGAGACCGCTGTGAGGCTTTTATTTTTGTTTGCACAACATTGCTTCTATTTAAATTTGTATGACTTTGAAGATTCGACGCTGAAGCTCATTTGTCTTCTATCTGAGCTCCTCGACACCATTAGTTCGCGTTAGAAATTGTCAAGGATTTCTAGGAGGAAATATCTCGAAGAACAAGTGTACAATTTCGGACAAGGCTTTATTGATGACAGTCTGGGATATCGATCTCTCTTTTCAATGTGGATTAATTATATGTAAGATTCTGTTATCTCTGATCAACTCGTACAAATAACTCTATTCTTAAATATAGACTCCCAAGGCTTTAGTGATCCCAAACTCCCAGTGATCTGGCAACAAGCAGCCACTCAATTATCGCAAGGTAACTTTTCCTAGCTACTAAATTTCGGATAGCACTTCACCTCATGTCGCCTGGCTGAGCTTCACCGTTTTCAATCGAATCAATCTAATTGATCTAATTGATCATACCTAGTGCTGGTATACCATTCGCGTAAGTGTAGTCCGTGCGCGAAATAACTGTACATTATCACGCCTGTGGTTAGAGTGAAGATATAGATGATTCAAACCCGTAATACGACACAGCGCTGCGTATTGAGAGTATAGATTAACTAGATTTAATGACACCTAGAAATCTAAACCTTCATATATGCTTAGTCCAGATTTCCAATAGTTCGCCGCTCACGCGTCTCGAATCTACGAACGTAACGGCTTGTGAGCCGATTATTTTCCTGAGGCACGTGATTTTAGTAACGTGCGCCAAGAACTTTACAGTGGCCTTCGCTTTATCACAGATGAGTTCAGTCGTAACTCGAAGATTCTGGTTAGTGATCGTCAGACTGCGAATTGCTCTCAACAGAACACATGAGAGTAGCTGATATCAGCCAAGAACAAATATTCTAGATAATTAAATAAATGTATAGATAGTTAAATAGTTCAACGGTTAGGCAGGGGGAAACTTATAAGCTACCTCTGTATGTCTGATGGCTCCAGCATAAATACTCGAACTATGACAGCTAATCACGGTCATTGTCGTGCATAAGTCTGGGCATCGACACATTGCGGTACATACTCTGCTGTGATGGATTTACGTTGGCTGGTAGTCTCTCTGCACGCTACTGTCACGAAATGAGTCGTGATCTGAACAATCGAACGAAGTCTATTGCGATTATCTAAAACAAAGATATCTAGAAGATGTCTCTACAGTGTAGTTAAGGGTTTACAGCGTGAAGATATTTCATAGGGGTATTGTTAGTGTTATCTAAGATCGACATTATTTACTTGGTCTCCAGACCCTGTCCAGGGAACCTATCCTGGTATCCTCAAGCCCGTAACAGGTACGCACGCGAAACATTCTAGGTCCTGCCCCATAGTTGTTGTTTGGATTTGACCAGGGCTAGGAAGATGCAGATGCTCGGATATATTTCAGGCTACTGTTTCTCCTTGGAGTATGATCCAAGGGCCTATGATTCAAAGTGGGAGAGGTTCAGTTTTGATACATGTCTATTAAACTGTTACATCAGTGCAAGTTAAGCAGATACACAGCTCAGGAGTGTAGATGCATGGAACATGTTTAGCCTAGGAAAACACCACCATCGCGAACATCAATGTAACATTCTGTAAACGGGACCGTAGCTAGATCTAACTTGAAGATTAAGTCTTGATGTGTTGCTAAGTGGATGGATCACGTATGGATACTTTGCATAGATAGTTTATAAGTGACCTGGACCGGAGGTGAGGACGGACAGGTGCTATGGGAAACACATCTTTTAATATAATCAATATCTTTCATCTTTATCTACACTTATATTATATTTACTTTGCAATACTCATCGTATATTTACAAATATCGATATCTGACAATCCATAATTATTTTATGCCTGTTGTCCAAGATTACAAAGTCGATAAGTTGTAAACATATATTCTTCCATGATTCCACATTCTGTATCGATATCAAATAGCCCTTCATAGTCCTAGACCAAGAAGGGACTCTATATTCTAATCTCATCTGCATCATGTCCGATATTACATGTCATACCTACCACCGTACCCTGCTACGGTAGCTTCTTGGGACGAAAAGAGCGGAGCCTCACGTTCTTATTCGTCCTATCCTTCGACTCTGAGGCTCGTAATTGAAGCGCTAGCCAGATTTTCGGCCTTCGTCGCACCAGCCGCTAGGTGTAACAGTGTACTGAAAATAGAATCATGTAGTCCATCTTTCTACCAAACACGTGGATTTTACCACTAGGCCGTGGGTTAATGGAGACTGAACATGTATCAGTGACGACACCTACTGACCCAGCGCATGAAACTTTTTCCCAGAGTCAGTGCTATGGCAGGAGTGGGTTGGAACGATGTCCGGGTGTGTTTGGTTGGGCGGAGTGATCTGTGTTGGACTGATTCACACGAAAGCTGACGCGACAGAGCTCTCAAGGAAGTAATGGCTAGAAGCGTATCCCTCCGGAAGACAGCAGAAAGGGTCGCTTGATACAAATATTTTCCCGTTTGTTGAGTGCTAGGCAGCACATTGAGCCGCATGACGGAGTTGAATCGTCTAGATAGCAGTAATACCTGGCTTGTGGCCTACTGAGAGCCGGCACGCCATCAGGATCAAAACAAAAGTCGCCCTCTGCCCTTGCGTGTCTCTCATCCTCTACATTTGTCAAGAGCTCGGATAGCGGGGGTCCTGGTTCGTCTCTTGAACGCTACACTCCAAATGAATGGCTGAACTCTTTTACTGCCGTCCATCACATTAAAAAGATCGGGTTGACCAAAGTCTAGAGAATAAGATTGAGGGTAGCCTATCAATTGAGGCCTTCAAGGGATTTGCAGAAAATTCTTGAAATATTCCTTCCCAGACATGCCTGACAATTTTCAACGGCGTGCCATTCGGCCTGGTCTCATGGATAGATGCTCGGTAGGCGATTCTCCCAGGTGCTATCTACCAGCAATTTTCGCTGCACACAAGGGTAGAGCACTCATCTGGATGGTATCGTGATGCCAGACTGAAGTGGATTGTCGGGAACCAGAGGTACTGCATTGTTGGGATGGTTGTGAGCGCCGTTTCATGGGAACGTTTGTCGCCGGAACGCCTATGCTGGGCGTAGGAGACGAGCCAGCTACCGAGAATATTCGAAGATGTCAACGGCGCCAATCGTCAGGCCAACCAGAGCGCCAACAACGGCCCGATACGGCTAACACGGTAATCTCCGTAGGCTGATGAATATTGTCGCCGTTGCCGGAGAAACGCCGGTCCGGTCCAAGGCACGCAGCTAGTCGTCCACTATTGAGGGAACTTCCCGAGTCCCCGACAGCAAACCGATGGCGACAAACGAAACTGGTGCCACTCACTTAATAGTACTGGCCATCATCAAAGTCAGGATAGATTCACGGGTGGCCTAACATTGGACTTACCACCCCACCCCCGCTTTCATGTACCGACTGCGAGGCGGCATGTCAGTCACGAGGTAAGTGATTCGATGGCCACGGAGTCATCATTTCGAGAATGTTGGACTGCCTGCCTATCGTTCCGGACACTAGCCTCGCACCGAATTCTCGCTAGTTTGGTTAGACCGTTGCAATTAACGGGATCATTGATGATTCTTCGGCGTTACGAGACTACATCTAATCTCGTCCTACTAAAACCGTTACACTTACAATCTTCCCATGCAACTACTGTAGGTTCGTACGAACAATTACCCGGCTAGTCCGTAAGTCTAAAGCGTCGGAAATTTGGCACCCTTACAAAGATGGAGGATGGGGACTACAATGAGTCTTTGCAGGTAGAATAATTAAACCAGATTCACCTCTAGACTTTTGGGTTACCAGAATTAGACGTAGTATTTAGCCATGATCCGCTACTATCTTCAGCGCAACCCTTGAATATTCATCTGCTCCATTGTATTGATTTTGCTTAATATTGTGGTCTTAGCCTCGGTTGCTTCATAACGTTGTCTCCGTTACGGTATTCACTTGCAGCGAGTTGAGTTTCATCATTTGTCTAAAAAAGACGTTCTAATCCGGCGTCTGTCTATCTATCTTGCTGTGCCGTTTTCCCTCAGTCGATAGAGATGGATTCTTTGACGGATGCCCAAAGAAGAGCGAATTGTTTCGGGCTTGGACCATCAGTTAGATTCTCAGAAGATGCACGAGAGGTTATCTATGGACAACAAGCAGTGTAAGTTGGGAAACATCATTTTTTGCACACGATAAAATGGGATCTGGGACCAGGATATTTCTTAATTGGATTCCGTCTCGAAATCCAAATTGTACTGTTAAGTTTACTGGCCCATCAGTGTATAGTATATGAATTGAATTTTTGATATATTGGGTTATCTTGATTAGTAGCTGATGAAATCTAATTTAATATACAGAATTGACATAACGAAAACCTCTCAAAAAAAACATCCGAAAATGAAGTCTCAAAGAATAATATTGAAGTCTCATGTACCGCAATCATCGGCCGCACGGGTTACAGAGTCTCAGATCATGATATGCCAAAACTCTCACGTTTTATCCGACAATCAGAAGTCTAGACTGAGCTTTAGAAGAAGAATACATTCCGTCAGCCCACTCCTGCGTCAAGCTATATTCTCAAGACCAAAAATCCGGGTTCAGATTAGAGAGAAAGAGGATCTCTTAAAAATCCGAGAGGATTCCAAAATCGAAACTATGATATGCACGAGAACGTACACCGAAAGAAAGATCGATAAGGCGTGTAAACCATATGGAACAGGTGTTTCTCAGATATGGTCTCGCTGTCATAAACCATTTCGAAAAGGGAGTGTGTCTCTAAGATTAAAGAAATCTATGATACAGAAGATATCGTGCGGCCAAGGAACATGTTTTAATGCCGGCGAAACAGACCATATGAAGGTAGGATTGAAAACCTCCGGGAATTTCGCTGACTCCATATAGCCGTCGCCCAAGAGAAATCCACATGTTTGTATTGCTAACTCTTCTGCTACTCTGCGGGAACCTCTAGTAAGTTTGTATCTTATTTTAATGAGTACCTGCTGATGGTAAAAGTACCGTGATAGAACAATAGGAGAAATGCAAGGTTCTAGACGTCGAAATACAGATGCTAGTACCGGTTGCATTGCGAACAGTCGATTTTGTGATGAAAACCATCAAATTAACCCCATTCTTGGTTCTGGGACGCCTCCGAGAGATTTTATCAGCGGCCCAAAAATTTGCCATAGAAGAGCAAACTTTGTTCAGGGCCCCGGATTACTGTCAACAGGAAGCAACAGCTCTAGAATGTACAATATTAATTCATATCCAAATTCAACGGTTGCTAGTGAGAATTTGCATTCGCATCATCCGGTCCGTGATTGTAAATTGGGAACAAGAAATATCACAACATGTACCCATGATCCGTCAAATCTGGCTGAATCATATAGAGGCCTAGAGCATGAGAATACCATTGCTTTTCTAATTCAGCTCGCACAGAATGTTGGCGAATCAGAGCATGGCAGGATTGCGGCTGTGCAAGAGAACCACAGCGGGGCTGAGCAAGCACTAATCTTGAAAATTGTCAGCCATGGTGTTAGTTGGGCTCGTGCATCTGAGAATTGCACGTAAATGTGTCGCTACGAGCAAAACTAGTTGGTGATACGATCTAGTTATTATCAGGCCCAGAGCCCTTGAAATCATGCTTGTTTGGGTCGACTGGTACTTCTTGGAGTTTTTGCGGATTCACAAAGTTTCTTTTCATCCCTGATACCCTGATTCTAGTCACAAAGGAAGCGAGCTAAATTAGTTAATTAATAGGTTAAAATTTAGGTTTTTTCATGCTCTCATGGTTCCTTGCTCTTGTTTAGTTTTCCTCTTTATCTCAAATCTTCTGAATTCTTGAATAGCTTTTTCATGTACCAGTCTACTCTCGTCCGTGGCATATCTCGTTTTCCAAACAGTATGGCATTTAAATATGAACAGGTATCCGACTACAACATATAGGAGTAACGCTTACGCTCAATGGGTAGCGATTGTAATTATAACTTTGAACATATAAAACCTTTGATAAATATCTGTGAACACTATCACGGTGGACAAATAAGTTGTTCTTTACCAAGTATTTCTCAACGTAGCTTTACTCACGACCATCATGCTCTCTTAAACGAAGAGTCTTCCCTTTTTATTGTAATTTTCATTTATTCTTTGCGCCTTCCGTTTGACAGATACTCTATCACCTGTACGATTTACTGTATCGTAGTTGGGTCTGAAACCCAAGGATGAACAACTTCTAAGTGATCTTAATCGTGCGTATACTTAGCATCAAAGTAGTACAGGGGTCTACGCAGCCAGACTAATCCAAATCAAGCAGAGTACATGATATCATATCTTCCGCATGACGATATGTACAATTTAGACCAAATGCATGTTTCAAGCTGACACACACACTTTTAGTCAAGAGTAACGACCGCACAATTCAAATTTACTGGGAGTTTGTGATTTACGTTTCGTTAGTTATTTGGGTAAAGTAAATGTTTGGTTTTGCACCACTTGAGTCTTAGACTAGCTAGCAAATTGGGCTCATCCCAAACCCAGGCCACGCCTTGTACAGTGCTCCTACCCGCTTTTGTCACTGAAAAGATATCTGATACATTGCCCATGAAAGATAGCCATTCATCTCATTATTTAATCGTGGAATTTAGCAAGCCTCTCTTCGGAACCTCCTGACAACCAAATAAAAGATCGTAATTGAAATTGCGTGTGCGGGAAAAAGTCTCAAAAAACCTGCAGCCCCAGCTAGGCGAGGCCTAGACACCGGGACCAGATGAGTTGCGCATGTTCATCTGCATCTCCCTTCTCTGTAACATTAGAGGCCAACTTGATCCTATCCACCATCTCCGTAACGGGTGCTGGGTACGCTCCGGAAACTCATCGGATGGCTTTTCCTCCATGATCAAGGGTTTGTGATAGATAGGGCTCCGACTCTACAATCTAATCGAGGTTAGCTTCATGATAATGATGATAAGGGGACGATTTGAGAGATGAATACGATACAGACCGCTAAAAGATTTGGAAATCCCCATCGAAATGAGGACGATGTTTCTCAATCTCGGCTTTCCAGACTCTGCAGTAGGGGCTGGAGGCTTATAGGGGATACCACCGACAGGTGTTGAGAAAAGTCACTCAAAACCACAGCAGGCTTTGCTCGTGTGTTGAATCATATTATGTGTGAACGGCAAAAGAACCCAATTTCAACAAGTTAAGGCACATATTCTTCCCTAGACTCGCCCACCACGCGCCTGAGTCCTTAGTAAGGGGGGCAAAAACTGAAAACTTGTTCGCGATGTGCTTCACAAATCTGGAAATGAGATATTCTCCCAGAGTCAAGTACTGCCAAATTTCGCAATACCAAAGAAGCTGGCCCACGAGGCGATGTTTCAAAATACTCCACCATGTCGATCCTTCATTTCCAACGACATCAGTTCCCACAAAAACCTCATGAAGCATACAAGTACGACCAAATAAATTTTAATTTCAATAAACGTATCTCTCCTTGACTTTCTCTGGCCTCAGCTGACCACCAAATACACGCCCACGTCGATGTTTACACCGGTAGGATAAGACAAAGCGTGGCACACAAATCTTGGAGGCATTCCTTTGGGATGGAAGTGGGAGGGATCAGGACAAGTATACAAGATGATGCAGATAATGGATACAGTCTTGACGGGCGCAGAATTTTGAATTTTGGTAAGGGATTTTACAGGTGGTGTTCTCCGGTATAGTTTCGGTAGCCTGGGAGCCTACACCACTTGGGAAGGAGACGCCTGAGACCACGTTTCGCGCGGAGACATGTCTGCATAACTCGGAATTTTGAGACGATTTCTTGGGAGGGTATTCACAAATAAGGGCTCACTTGGGGCGAGGAAAAAGCCGGCATAAATTTGTAGAGGTTCTTGCAAATGAAATCCGAAGCGTGAGTGCGCTAGGTTTAAATTGAGCCATCTATTCTGTGCTTTTTCTCTGATATTTTGTCACAGCTAGATAGCTGCATATGCAATCAAAATCTCATGCAAAAAAAGAGTCTTTGATACTCTCACATTCATGATTGTGTCTCATGATTCCAGTACAGGTCACGCTTCATCCTATGATCTCCTCATTTATTATAGCGTAATTTATTTCATTAAATGCCTCATACAGTAGCCTATTGAAAAACAATTCTTTATTCTTAAGTCACATCCAATCATTGTGTAAGTTAACATTGTCGTTTTTAAGGATATATCCATTGCGGTGATATGATATTTTGAAAAATTACCGAGTTTCTAGCTGACATAATCCACTATGCTGCTAGTTGGAGGGAATCGCCTATCTCTCCACCTTGATATCCTATTGTACAATCAGCTATTGTTGTAAGAATCAGGAGGGGTTATTCACCTTAAGCTGCTTAACAATATGTCCTCCTGAATTTACAATTACCAAGTCGATCACAACTTTTGCTACGTTGCATACCCGCCCCTCTGGAATCTTTTATTCCTCCTGCTACTGCTACTGCTACTGCTACTGCTACTGCTACTGCTACTGCTACTGCTACTGCTACTGCTACTGCTACTGCTACTGCTACTGCTACTGCTACTGCTACTGCTACTGCTACTGCTACTGCTACTGCTACTGCTACTGCTACTGCTACTGCTACTGCTACTGCTACTGCTACTGCTACTGCTACTGCTACTGCTACTGCTACTGCTACTGCTACTGCTACTGCTACTGCTACTGCTACTGCTACTGCTACTGCTACTGCTACTGCTACTGCTACTGCTACTGCTACTGCTACTGCTACTGCTACTGCTACTGCTACTGCTACTGCTACTGCTACTGCTACTGCTACTGCTACTGCTACTGCTACTGCTACTGCTATTGAAGTTGACAACTCTTCAGCTGAATATCTTCTCCTTCTGCATGCAACGTTTAGAATCAGCGTTAAAGAATGTTCATTATTTTAAGCTCCTTTTCTAAAAAATTTCAACGCCCTAGCATCTGAAACAGGTGAAGGCGTAAAAAGAATTCGAACCTCATCAAATAGAGATATTGGTTTAGGCTCTCTATGATGGTCGAGTGCAAGCAGCCGGTCAGTACCAGGCTTCAAGTCCTCAGTTTGCCAATAAAAATTTTCATGCTAGTTCCAGGGAGTTTACCAACAATGTTTTGTAGGGCATAGGTGTAAGACTAAGTGACTGAAATGAATAATGGTGGGAAATCCATCCTGGAGAATGAGAGATATGAAATGTTTGAAAGAATGTAAAAAGACTTTGAGGGAGAAGTCTTGCACACCTGACAGGTCACATACTTGAAAATCTATCCAGTTCTTACTCCATCAGAAACCATTCAAATATTTGTTGATCACTATGAATCCTATTTATTCACAAAACTAGCCATTGCATACTGAGTGAGAAGCACATAGTGGCCCACACCACGAATTCTTGAAAGCTGGCTAAGTCCAATTTCATTGTTTGTCAAGTCGTAATTGCTAACGGCAGTCCCTCAATACTCAATGCTCGGTAATGCCAAGTTGAATCATGATAGTTTGATTTAACCAATAAGAAGTTTGGGATTTATCAACTCATGACCTACATTCATTTCTCTAGTTTAATGTCCTAATTGGCTTGTATGTACAGAGCCATGAAGGCGGTAAGCTACATTATGAAGGGAAATAACTTTTAACGATACCCGCTGTCCTACTACTTTGAACCGACCTGGCTTAATGCTAAGGACGTTCCTTTCAACCATAACTTTATAAACTTTCCCCAAATTTCGTAAAATCCCCCTTCGATCAGACTAAAGTTATGAGAAATTAAATAGGGAAGACACCTCCTCGCTCGACGTTGGTCTTCCAAGTGTTCGAAGAGTTGGCCCCGATAGTGGTGCGACTTTTGCGGAGATAGTTGGTGCCGTTGGGGCTTCGATTACCTTCTGTGGTCGTCCCGGCCCTCTTTTGAGCCCTTCAGCTTTTTTACTGGTGACCAAAGTGAATTCCTGATCATCCGTTATTCGAACTGTTGGTCTGGGTTTCGCTGGAGGTTTTCTCATCTCAGAGTTCAACCGTTACTGAAAGAAGCTCTATCCGAGCCTTCTCCACACTTCCCTTGCAGATTTGGTAGGTCCGACACGCTGCTTTCTGCCATGAAAGATGCTCCTTACCGCAATTCGCACAAGAAACACTTTTTCTCGGACGATTCCAAGTTTGGTGAGCACCAGCGCACCCACCGCACCTGGCTGCCTTTCCAAATGACGCCTGTGTGTGTCCCCACTAACTGCAGTTGTAGCACTGCTTTGGCTGGGCCCGCGATAACAAAACTTGTGCGGTGAAGAGCATGGCGTTGATTACAAGGTCATGTCGAACCACTTGACTCATGACCTTTTTGCTGTCAATCAGTATTTTCTATTCACTATCAACAGGATAGACTTTATGCAGCCTCACACGCGTCTCGGGCACAGGGGGAACCTAGCAGACATATTAATCCCCATTTTAAAGTCGGCCTCGGCAATATTGTACGTGACATTTCCAGAAATACTATACACATATATTTGTTATCGCGTAAAAGTTTAATTCAAGGTTTGAACAAGATTGTGGAGAT